GGAAATTGGGAGAAACAGATGAGGGAGGCAGAACAGGCCGAAGGAGAGAGGTGAGTCACTTCTGGTACTCCAGAGCATGAAGGGAGCAAAGGTCCCCACCATAACCCTTCTGCTCTTTTTGTGCTTGGGGCTCCTCTGGGTAACAGAGCTCACCACCCCGTCACCGCTGCGAGGATGCCCATCCTCGTGCCCCCAGCCCTCCAGGCAGGAGTGATGCTGGCAGGTTTCACAGCTCGCCTGGGTTCGTCTCACCTCCTGCTTCCCCTTCGTGCAGCAGCATCCCAATCTGCTCATAGCCCTCCAGCCTGGCAGGGCACAAGGGAAGGCACTTCCCTGTGGAATCCAGTGTAACTCCACTTTCCATGGGGAAAAGGGGTGCTCCTAGAGAGCTGGGGTGGAGGAGGGGAGTCTCTGGCTCCCGGACCAAATGAACTGGGCTATCTTGTGGCATCTCACACAACGGAAAAATTAAATCAAATTTTCCCCTCAAACACAGGTGGTCCCACGAGTACCAGGAGGCCACCATCGACAAAATCATCCGCTTTCTCCAGGGCCGTTCCTCCCGGGACTCCTCGGCTGGATCAGAGAACGGCCTGGACTGCTTGCCCTCCCTGGGGCAGACCTAGAACCGCCACAGCTGCCTCATCCCCTCCAGAGACTTCCCAGGTGACCCCTTTTTTATGTGGGGCCAAATTTCTCCCTCTAGACTTTTCCCCACCTTAGTACCCTGACTTGAGACAAGGCCTGTGGCTCATTTGCCCCCCGTCCATCCTCCAAATGCAAGCTCCTGGCGCTAAAAGGTCAGTACTCACACAGTGCCTGGTGAGCCAAGCCAGAGCGGACTCTGGGATGAACGAGCTGTCTTCCACACCATCCCTTGGGGTGGCAGGACACGCAGGCTGGGCCTCCCGCCATGCAGGGGGTGCGAGGGAGACCGACGCTGTCCAGACCCCTGCAAACGGCTGCGCCTTCCCCCAGAAACACGTCTGAAGAGGAGGGATCTTCTGAGGACCGAAACCTGGGGAATTAGCAAGGGGTACAACACAAGAGGACAGGCGAGAGAGAAGAGCTGTTGAGAGGGAACAGCCCATAAGCATCGTATGGCCTCTGCTGGGTGCCACTGGAATATCACCGCAGTCAGAAGCTGAGAGCAGGAAAGGGCAAATAAAAGCTAAGCACTAACATAATCCACGTGTTTGGGAAAGATAACACGCAGAGGCTCCTAAACTGCTCAGCAGAAGCTTTCTCTTTCCCAGTAATGCCCCTTTATCACAGGAGCTCACTTCCTCCTTGAGGGGCCTTTCACCTCCTAATGCTGCAAAACCGCTTTGTGCTCTTAACTTTGGCGATGGAAGTTTGGGGTTATATCACGTGAAGTTTCTGCAAGATCTTTGCAAAAAGTGCTTTTAAAACAAGCCCCTTCCCTCCACCTGATGTCTCGGCTTTACCACTTTATCAGGTCTATACTTACAGGGCATAGGAAGCTGGGCTGTGACTCTGGAAAACATGTATCCATGTGGATACAGAAGATGCTAATTGCTGTATTGTACTTGCGGAGTTATTATACACCGGCTGTGTTTTATTCTGCTCCACAGCAGATCTCTCGTGGTCTGTTCCACAGCATATCTCTTTGCTGACTACTGCTCACCCCTGCCAGCCCTGGCTAAGCTCCTCAGGGTTGTCCCTGCTCTCTGCTGGATGCAATACCAAGCAGCATTTGTTTCTTTCTACCGACCTCTTCTCAACACTCACCAGGTCTTTTTGCAGCTACTCACCCTGAAATATCAGGAATGAATGAAGTCAACGCAAAGGGCAGGCGGAGGCTGCTCGGTGTGAGCACCGGCTGGGAGCGCTGCAGGTGAGGAACCACGGGCACCCTGACACGCCTCCCCTGAATTCGGCACTCCCAGCCTTGTCCTGCTTCTCACAGCTGCTTGGAGGCTGAGCAGGCTCTCAACAACATGCCGTTTTGCAATTAGGACCAGAAATTGCAGCTCCTACCTGAGTTTGTCTTTTTTGATGCAGAGCAAAGTGAATAATGCAAAAAGACATCCTTGTTCAGAGCACACACAGGAGGAAGCACCTGACGCTCTGGAGACCAGGCCGACGCACCACCCTGCAGAAGGAGCAGGTTCCTCTGCCCGTCCCTGCTCAAGATAACTCTTTCAGGAGGTGATGAGGAGTCTCAGTCCTTAACTGGCAGGAACACAAACACCATTTCCTTTTGGCTTAGATCCATGAATGTTTGAGAAAAAAGGGAAGTTAAATTCTGGTCCTTAATAGCAGCTTTACAGATAGTTCTTATCAGCTCACAGTTAATGGCTCTCCAATGAAAGGTTAATAGCTATACCTGCCCAGCACTCATCAGAAATAGAATCTATCTAATCTCCAGATTAAATGCAAGGAAGCCAGCAGATGAGCCCAAAGGTGAACCTGCCAAAGGATAAAAGCCACTTGTGAGCTGCTTCAGGGAAAAGCCTTGAGTAACTGATTGAATGTCAAGGCCTCCATGGCCACTAAAGGAGTCCCACACAAACAGTCCCAAGGATTTTTCCCCTCCACAATAACACACAGTAAGGTTATTGCGTCTTGTTTCCCAGGAGTTCTCTAGCAATTAACCTCCTCACCCACCATTCCATGTAGAGATTTACTTGTTCTCTACAGCTTAGGTGTCTCACCTGCAATGAGATCCCACCTCATGCTTCAGCTGCCCAGACTGCGGCTCTGTGTTTCCCCATCATTCAGTTATCTTCACCGTAATGAACTCACCCTGCTCTTGACAAAACATCTCAGTCCCTTCCAGCCTGAGCAGACCGTCTCAAGGAAATGAATCCTTCTGTTCTCACCCTTCCTTATTCCTTTGCTGTGTCATGTCAGAAAGTGGTTAAAGTTGTTCTATCACACATTATTAATAAATTTGGTTTATACCCTAAATCCCCACCTCTTTTCTCTTTATGTCACATGCTTCTCTCCCTGCAGCCTTCTCACACTTGCTCTCTCATGCCATCATGCTTTCTCATCTTCTGAAGTGGCACCAGAATTGACATTCTCCAGTTCTCTGCAGGGACTCACACTTCACCCTCATCTTTGCATGGACTGATGTAGCTCACTGTATCCTCAGGGACTCTCTACCTGCTGCCCACAATCACGATGCACGGATCGTGTATTTGCTTCACGGTTGCAGTTCTTGGAGGACAGCCTAGAAAAACTTTAATTTTTTTAACAGAGCATAATAGTTCCTATTGAACTCCTCCTTTGCAAGCACGCTGACACACCAGGCAAGCAGAGCCAGTACACAGGTTTCACCTCACTGCACAACACAGAGCAGCTGCTAGCATTGGCGCCCATGGAGTCTGTTGGTAGAGAAAACTTAGTCCACAATCAGTTCAGCTACAAACATCTGATGCAACAGTCACAGCATGCCCTGTTCCTTGAGGCTAATTCCGGGCTTAGCTCGTCAATCAGACACACAACTCATGCCTACGTCCACTGGTGTAACTACACGGATCTAGTGGCATAACACCAAGTCCTTAAAGCCTCTCTACTTCTCCACCTCCTGCTTCTCTGCTCCTCAATTCTCTTGCTTTTATCACAAACTCCTAACTGACAGGGAACAAAGCTGTATACAAGCACTTTACACGTTTTTCACTGAAGGACAGGCTACAAGACTAAGTATCCCCGCAAGCTTTACTCCACTGTTCAGGAAAAGCAAGCTTTGGCTGCTGGCGAGTCCCAAACCTGCGTTTTTCCTGACTCAAGACCCTCACGTGCTCATTCTCCACAAGGCAGGTAACTTCCTGCTGCTGCTCTACTGCAGAGTCTTCAGTAAAGGAAGACACATGAAAATAATGGAGAGAAGCACAGGAGGAGGCAAGGACAAATTACACCAGCAGCTGTACGAGAAAAGCTATCTTTTTATGAACCATAAAAGAGAATGCAGTTTTTATTCATTCTGAAAGTAACACGTCTGCTAAGCAATTTCAGTTAAGGACACGATCGCATGCATCTGAACAGCGTGTGTCATGCAACGTACACGGGACTGATGGTTTATGGTAGTTTGAAGAAAAAAGGACCGAGGCAATACAGTTAACCCTTTGAAAAGAACCATTACAAGAACCTTGAACATGGGGTTTGCTTGCTGGCATCAACGTACCCTGAGAAGGGCAGCAGAAGTGAGGCCACTGACACAAAAATTTGGGACATAATTTTATCTCCAAAACACTAGTCCTGTCCCCACACTAGCTCATCCCACCAGATGAGGAAGGACTGCTCCTGGCTCTGCCACAAGCTGAGCAATGATTTCACACGACACTAGGGCACACTTATCAAAGCTGGGGCTTCAAATTTATAGTGGGAAGGTCTTCAGTTAGGGGGGCCCAATTTTGTCAATTTTAGCCTTAACTTCATCAGTTTGGGCAACTGTCAATTCACCTACTTGCACCTTAGTACTCTCACAGGAGCTACTACTTCTCAAAAGCAGTAATCCTGGGCTGAGCTGCAGGACATGCCACTGGCACTCCTTCCTCCAAGCACTTAGATTCTCTCCTCTAACTTGCAAAGCTAAGGATAGTTTAGTCAGTAGGATGGCAAGAGCACTCCTGTGGTAAACTACCACTCACCGTGAGGATTTCTGCAGGAGCCCGGTCTGGCATGTGACATTTGTGTGACTTTTATTGACAACACACTGATTTGGAGCCCAGATCTTCCTCCTCGGCAGCACGCTGCTGGGCACCTCTGCTTCAGTCTCGCTCTGCAGGCTTTGGGCTGGGCCTCGCCCACGCCCACCGCTCATCTGTGCACGCTGCAGTACTCAGAGGGGACCATGTTGGGCAATTAAACCAGAATCCAGTCCTCTCTCACCACTAAAAGCATGCCACAGAACCTCCCCTTCCCACCAAACCCCAAACCACTAACCGGCCTTGCAAATGGCCAACAATACTTTTACACTTGATTGGCTTTTGGGTCTCTTGGGTTTCCTCTGACAGATGAGCCAACACAACAGCAAGGAGGCATTCACATCCGCAAATCCAGTTCCTATTGGCAGTCGGAGTCATGATTTCCAACTACTTGGCATTTAAGAATTAGTAAGGTCAAGCAAGGTGTCCCTCCCACACTAATCTGTCCTTCAAGGGAAGAACAAAGAGCAGTCTTCAGATGCACACTGCCAAGCTAGCCAGTTCCTTGTTGCCAAGCTGCTGCTCAGCCATCCACAGGGGACAGGGAAGCATCTGAGAAGTGGCTGTAGTCATGGTTTGAGTCCCAGATTTCTACCCACCTAGGAAAGAAAGAACAGTTAGAGCCTACGAAGGCACACTGGCATGTCGCTGGATGAAGGGAGTTTTAAAGTTTCAAAAGAACAGAAGAAAATGACCCTAACTGGAGCTGTTGCACTTCTACTGCAAATCCCAACACATTCTGTCTCCCAAGGCTTACCAGGGGATTTGTTTTCTATCATGACACGACTTTTCCGTTAATTAGTAGAGAAACAACAGGAAGAGAGACTGCTAAAAGAGCTCCATCTCTTCCATAAAGGAGGACTTTCAAATTCAACTCCAGATTTTGGATTCTACTCTGAGGGTGGAGTAAGACTTCGAAGGACTTCGAATGTTGGCAGCTACGCTACTCGGGCTGCAGGCTTGTCGCTAGGATTCAGATGCCAGAAAAAATGGACCTGCACCTCTGCTCACTGGGCCACTAAACACCCTCTCATAAGCAATATTCAAAATATGCCTTAAAAACGATAAGCCTCTATCCTAAGTAGAGTCAATAGTACTTTTCATATTACACTTCACAGGTCCTATAGCAAAGTTTAGAAATCTGAAGTAAATTACCCAATAATAGCTGCTGGAATAAGAAGAATTATAGCCCCAAAGAGAAATGGGAATCCTCTCATGAAGTGCAAGCTGGCAGGGTAAAGAGAGTTGAACACTCCTGTAGCCACAAGCGAACACAGTCCTTCCACACAGGCAATGGAAGCAAAGAGAGCACCTGGAAAAGACGTGCGAGAGGTTAACGGTGAGACGGCCCTGCCTGCAAGCGCCTTTAACACACCACCTTCAGTGGGATTCTGTGAACCTTTCTGAGGGTGTGCACTCCCGATCAGAAAATTGGTGTCTGCATTGTCAAGCGGGGTCAGCAAGAGCTAGGAGCAGAGACGAGGCACACCGTGCTGGCCTGGCAGGCCAAACCCATCAAGCTCAGCCTCTCTATAGCCAGGACCACCTCACTGACCTCCAGAACTTGTATCACCGAAGCTGATCAACAATATGATGTATCAGCTGGATTGTAAATGCTTGAGACGGGGCTATATAGATCTGTTTACTGCCAAGCACATCTTATCACTTGTTAAACATTAAGTACAGCAGAAGACTGCACTTCATAGATTTAGCATCATAAATCTGATATCGAGTGTGCACATAAGAAACACAAATTGTGCAATGTCACACCTCAATTCCCTCCTCCCCTCTGCCTGCCTGCAGAAGCATTCCTACACAGTGTTCGGCAGCAAGTGCAAGCTCTCCAAACAAATTACTGGAAGAAAGACAAATATGCTCCTCCTACGGGTTATCCATGATCTTTCAACATGGTCAATGATACAACCTTCTAACAACAGTAGGTTTCTTCCCACTGTTACTGATCTACAGGAAAGAGTCACGGTCAGCAAAATCACTATTTTCTGCTCGTTCTATAATACATTTTAACTCTTGCTCCCTGTAAAATTTTTGGAAATTAATAGATGGATGAATGAACTATTCCTGAGCTTGAATGCAATACTTTTAATCTCGTTTTTCTTCTCTTGTCCTCATCTTGAAAATGTAGCAAGTCTAAATGGACGACTGACAACTATTCTGAAAAAATAAAATAGTACCCTGGGCCTGAGGGTTCATGCAGGGGCACAGGAGTCCAAAGGAGCCGGGGAAGTCCTAACCTCCCAAAGCAGCTTTAACATTCCAAGAAGATCGTGTTTCAGGGCCTGGCTCAAGCACAGTGGCTAACTCCTTACCCTGCTCCGTCTCACTGACCAGCTTGGACAGCTTGGCTCTGATGACTGGAGTGGCTGCCATGGAAAGGAACAAAATCCCGTAACCTGTGAGCAAGACACAGCACATTAGGGAAAGCTCAGCTGAAAAATAATGTCCCCAAAGTCAATTCCAGAAATCCGTAGCTCCAGGCCATTTCTCCCTGCTATATTTAGACCAAATTCACCCTCCTGCATCTCATGATGCACTTGAGTCTGCAGTGTAATACAGCTTCTGGGAAAGCTCATATTCTAGGAACTGAACGGTCGCACTTTCAACATCAGGGTTTGGGCAGCTTTGCTATCAGCAAGCCAAGTTTTGTTGGTACATGGGCTGAAATGGAGGCAGAAATTCCCCCACATGCTCGAACTCCCAGAAGCACACATCTACTGGCATCTCTAAGCTAAGAGCCCGAGATACGGGGATTTAAGAATTTGGCATCACCTGTAAACATCAGTGGTGTTGTAGCAGCAAGAGAAATCACAACCAGTCCAGAAATATTGGAGATCAATCCTATCTCTGCCACCCAGGTGTCTTCAAGGCAGAGCTGCAGCAGCCGCAGCCCTCCCAGGCTGCTCAGGGACGCCAGGACGCCAGGTAACTGGCAGCTGAGCCGTACCCAATGAGGTCAGCAGCCCAGCAGAGGGGAGAGCCAAGCTCGTACAAAACAAAGAGGTCCCTGGTTCCAAAATGGACCGTGACAAGAAGAAAGAAAGCCAGGGAGTAAAGAGCAAGCTTCCGCCTGGAGCTCAGGTGTTCTGGGGTCGTGTACAGCCTGCACACAGCTTTGTAATGACTAAGCGTGAACAGTTTGGCTGCTTTCTGCTGCTTTACGGATTCCTGAAGACAGAAAGCAGCGTAGAAGGCGGCAGCAAGACTGGCAGCAAGCACGAGCCAAAAGGGGTTGATGTACCCTTGTGCCTTGCGGGCCCGCCGCCGATGCTGGCCAGCATGCCCGCGATGCCAAGGCATGCCTCGAGGATGGCGACACGAAAGGTACGTGCGCGTTTGTCGCTGGTGTCGGCCACGTAGGCGAAGCAGCTGGCGAGGATGAGGTTGTAGTCTCCCATGAGGCCGCTCAAAAGGCGTCCGAGGAGAAAGTAGGCGACTGGCAGCTGGAGGTACATGACGAGAAGGTAGATGGCCG